GCTGAAATCTTGTCACCAAATTTCAAATTTGAACTTTGATAGACTTTATTCGCTGCAAATTTTAAAGTGACATCTTTCATTTGAAATTGTGGGCCACGAAAACCGAATGAAACATAATTTCATGCTGAAATCTTGACACCAAATTTCAAATTGAACTTTGAAAGACATTATTCGCTGCAAATTTTAAAGTGACACCTTTCATTTGAAATTGTGGGTCATGAAAACCGCATAAAACATAATTTCATGCTGAAATCTTGACACCAAATTTCAAATTTGAACTTTGAAAGACATTATTCGCTGCAAATTTTAAAGTGACACCTTTCATTTGAAATTGTGGGTCACGAAAACCGAATGAAACATAATTTCATGCTGAAATCTTGACACCAAATTTCAAATTTGAACTTTGATAGACTTTATTCGCTGCAAATTTTAAAGTGACATCTTTCATTTGAAATTGTGGGTCACGAAAACCGAATGAAACATAATTTCATGCTGAAATCTTGACACCAAATTTCAAATTGAACTTTGCAAGACATTATTCGCTGCAAATTTTAAAGTGACGCCTATCATTTGAAATTGTGGGTCATGAAAACCGCATGAAACATAATTTCATGCTGAAATCTTGACACCAAATTGGAAATTTGAACTTTGAAAGACATTATTCGCTGCAAATTTTAAAGTGGCACCTATCATTTGAAATTGTGGGTCTTGAAAACCGCATGAATCATAATTTCATGCTGAAATCTTGACACCAAATTTCAAATTGAACTTTGAAAGACATTATTCGCTGCAAATTTTATAGTGACGCCTATCATTTGAAATTGTGGGTCATGAAAACCGTATGAAACATAATTTCATGCTGAAATCTTGACACCAAATTGGAAATTTGAACTTTGAAAGACATTATTCGCTGCAAATTTTAAAGTGGCACCTATCATTTGAAATTGTGGGTCTTGAAAACCGCATGAATCATAATTTCATGCTGAAATCTTGACACCAAATTTCAAATTGAACTTTGAAAGACATTATTCGCTGCAAATTTTATAGTGACGCCTATCATTTGAAATTGTGGGTCATGAAAACCGTATGAAACATAATTTCATGCTGAAATCTTGACACCAAATTGGAAATTTGAACTTTGAAAGACATTATTCGCTGCAAATTTTAAAGTGGCACCTATCATTTGAAATTGTGGGTCTTGAAAACCGCATGAATCATAATTTCATGCTGAAATCTTGACACCAAATTTCAAATTGAACTTTGAAAGACATTATTCGCTGCAAATTTTATAGTGACGCCTATCATTTGAAATTGTGGGTCATGAAAACCGTATGAAACATAATTCCATGCTGAAATCTTGACATCAAATTTCAAATTTAAACTTTGGAAGGCATTATTCGCTGCAAATTTTAAGGTGACACCTTTCATTTGAAATTTTGGGTCATGAAGCTGAAATCTTGACTCTTGACTTGAGGAATGCTGAAGATCGTAATTTTCAGCGCAAATGTCATCTTTCTTCACGTGGAGAAACAGTTTTGGGGCTATCACCAAGAGATCTAAAAAATCGAGAGGAAATTCGACTGACTGTTCCATTCCAGTTTCGTGCTTACGTAACGCCATTCAAGACCGCTTGGAAGCTGGTTGCTTTTGTCGTTGACTCGGTCGCCTGATGATGCTAAGGGTAATCCAATCAGTTCACAAACCTCGTTTATGGCCCCTTTTTTCGAGGCGGGCAATAAAAAAATTTACATACGAAAAAAATTAGTGAGAGGGCGGCAACATGTGTTCCTCCTTTCGGATAGTACCTGTCTACTGTCTAGTTAATAATGTATCACTTTTTGAACCTCGCGCGTACCGCATCTGTTGGCTTCATTAATAAAAGGGCAGCACTAAAAAAAATGGCGAAGTGACCGCCGCCGCCCGGTCGCATTTCGTCTCGTTTTTTGAATCATCTGTTCCTTGAATAGAATTCGATTAGGTGCGTTTGCGGGCAAGGAAAAGGTGCTGATGATATTCAACACCACCGACACGTGTGCATATGCCATATGGTTCGCGGAATATGCAACAGAAGAAAGGTAGAAAAAAAGGTATCCTGCGACATATGTTGGGTTTATTTAATATTAGCGCCGCCGTTTTTATTTCCCTTTCAGTGTGTAATTAATAGGCCTATCGTATCGTCTCACTTTCCATTTTCGAGCATTGTCCAATTCGATTAGAAACCCCGACAAAGACATTCCGTAAATTCCTCAAACTATTTCTCAAATTGAACCCCGAGTGGCGAAAGTTGAAGAAATTCCCACCTCCGCAATTATGCAAACAATGTAACAATTAAAAGTAATTGCGGCCGTCCGAATTTCGCGACACTCCGACTATTTTAAAACTTTGGTTAGAAAATAGACATCGTAGGCGTTAAAAGAGAGAGGCCAGCGAGAGGAAGCCTCACCGAATTCACGCACCAAATACGGAAATGATTTAATTAAGATTGGATTGCGTCACTTTTTTCGGTGTGAAACGTACTTTTTAAGCGCCGGGGTGCCATAAATTATACGAGGTGGAATTGCGCGAAGGTGTCAATCAAACTATAAATACCTGTAGGTACCATCGACGGGCGGCATCGTAAAATCGGCGTTGAAAAATTGGGTAACCGCACCGACCACCAACGCGCGGGGTCAATTTCGGACGGCGCACCGTCGGCTAATTACAGGGGGGACGCTTTGCAAATAGTATACCAAATTGGGCCTGATGCTTTTCCAAAACGTGCGATAATTTACAACGAACGCCCACCGTCGACGAAATTAACCCATCACTCGCGCAAACGAGCCGAATCACAAAAGATCGGAAGGACCACCGCGATGACACACACGAAGATTAGGGATACCTTCGAGATTACGCGTCAGCTGCGAAAAATAATGACCGATTCCTCCTCTTCGTCTTTGCCGACGTCAATTGAAGAATGCGAGTTTTGGGGATTTACTTCCTTTAAAAAAGGACAATGGCGTTTTCGATTCCTGCGTGTCGTTACGACATTCCTTCACGTTTTCTTTTCAATGGTGACATTTTATAGGTGTTAATGGTTGACACCTTTCATAGCTTCCAGAAATTGCCTTAAATACTTTTTTAATGAACGAAGAAAGAAAAATGGCCGCACAGAATTCTTGCTTTCCAAAAAATCGTCCCAACGTTGAAATTTTGTGCCAAGATGTTAATCAGAAATCATTTTTATGCGGTCTTCATGGCCTTAATTTTCAAATGAAATTTGTCACTTTCAAATTTGCAGCGAATAATGTCTTCTAAAGTTGAAATTTGAAATTTGCTGTCAAGATTTCAGCCTGAAATCATTTTTGTGCGGTCTTCATGGCCCTCATTTTCAAATGAAATGTGTCACTTTCAAATTTGCAGCGAATAATGTCTTCTAAAGTTCAAATTTGAAATTTGGTGTCAAGATTGCAGTCTGAAATCATCTTTATGCGGTCTTCATGGCCCTCATTTTCAAATAAAATTGGTCACTTTTAAATTTGCAGCGAATACTGTCTTTTAAAGTTCAAATTTGAAATTCAGTGTCAAAATTTCAACCTGAAATCATTTTTATGCGGTCTTCATGGCCCTCATTTTCAAATGAAATGTGTCACTTTCAAATTTGCAGCGAATAATGTCTTTTAAAGTTCACATTTGAAATTCAGTGTCAAGATTTCAACCTGAAATCATTTTTATGCGGTCTTCATGGCCCTCATTTTCAAATGGAATGTTTCACTTTCAAATTTGCAGCGAATAATGTCTTTTAAAGGTCAAATTTGAAATTCAGTGTTAAGATTTCAACTTGAAATCATTTTTATACGGTCTTCATGGCCTTAATTTTCAAATGAAGTGTGTCACTTTCAAATTTGCAGCGAATAATGTCTTTTAAAGGTCCAATTTGAAATTCAGTGTTAAGATTTCAACTTGAAATCATTTTTTTACGGTCTTCATGGCCTTAATTTTCAAATGATTTGTGTCACTTTTAAATTTGCAGTGAATAATGTCTTTTAAAGTTCAAATTTGAAATTTGCTGCCAAGATTTCAGCTTGAAATCATTTTTGTGCGGTCTTCATGGCCCTCATTTTCAAATAAAATTTGTCACTTTTAAATTTGTAGCGAATACTGTCTTTTAAAGTTCAAATTTGAAATTTGGTGTTAAGATTTCATCCTGAAATCATTTTTATGCTGATCTCATGGCCTTCATTTGAAAATGAAAGGTTTCACTTTCAAATTGGCAGCGAGTAATGTCTTTTAAAGGTCAAATTTGAAATTTGGTATCAAGATTTCAGCCTGAAATCATTTTTATGCGGTTTTCATGGTCCTCATTTGCAAATGAAAGGCGTCACTTTCCAATTTGCAGTGAATAATGTCTTTTAAAGTTCAAATTTGAAATTTAGTTTTAAAATTTCAGTCTGAAATCATTTTTATGCGGATTTCGTGGCCTTCATTTTCAAATGTCGAGTTTGACATTTAAATTTGGGATTTACAGTATCTTTTAAAGTTCAAGTTTGACAGTTTGTGTCAAAATGTTTTCTGAAATCAATTTTATGATGTCCTCCTGGCTCCAAATTTCAAATGACAAGTTTCACATTTAAATATGGAGCTTATAGTGTCTCAAAGTTCAAACTTGAAGATTTGTGTAAAAATTTTTCCTTGCGGGCTAGCAGGCGTGTTCGACGTAAGCAATGTTGAGATACTTTTGTGTTTTACGTATTCGGTCGAAAGAATGCCATAATTGTACACCTTCGGTAGATCGTTAGATTAAATGAACGAAGACGAAAGTGTAGAAAGGCGCGAAGTGACGCATTAGCCCAAATTAATGACGATCACGATATCTCGTCGGTCGGTCGGGGGGGGGGGGGGGGGGTGTTAATCAAACGGTCGACACGGCATTTCCATTAAAGCGATAAGATCGTCGATTGCTCGATTATATCAGAACGAGTTCGAAATGTCTTCATTCGACTGACGTGCCGATTCATTTTCAGAGGCATGTTCGTCGCGCACCACACCAAAGCCCAGACCGCCGGCGCCCACAGCACGGCCGAACATCACATTCCACACGTACGAGTGTCCGCCGGCGTACGCCGCGTGGTACTGTCTTAACGGTGCCACCTGTTTTACCGTCAAAATAGGCGATTCCCTCGTTTACAATTGCGAGTAAGTGAGCGCCGATCTTGAAAAAATGATAGGACTTTTTTTTCATTTTGGTGACATTTTTGTTACAGATGTACGGAGGGATACATGGGCCCTAGATGTGAATACAAAGATCTGGATGGTTCCTATATGCGTAAGTATTTCCCATCCTCTCTTAGACGCCTGCGTACGGTTTGCACTCATTCGCCCCATCTCATTTTAGCGTCCCAGCGGGGCTTCATGCTCGAAACGGCGAGTATAGCGGGAGGGGCGGCGATAGCAGTATTACTAGTAGTCATCTTATGCGTGGTGATATACGTTAATTATTGGCGAAGGAACAAATCGACGAGGACTTCGGCCGATTGCATCGACGGCTGCGCGAGCGCGCACCGGCCGAACCAGCCGACGTTCGGGACGCGATGGCGAACGACGACGGCGACGTCATCCGATCAGCGCGACGAAACGAAACAGGGACGAGTCGAACTGCACCAAGTTACGACTTTATTGACTTCGCCTAATCAGGCGTCGCGAGTGTAATTTTGTGACTTTAATTAAAAAGAAAACAAACTGATTATTTAAATTAAATAAAGTGATACCGCTTTAAAAGTGTAGACTTTATTATTTAAAAAAAAACGAATTTGTGTAGCACTTGTTATACGCAGCTTCGCTATTAACTTATTTTATTTTTATATACAAGGGGCAGCTTTTCTGCTATTTATTGTCAATTTTTTGACAGCACTGTATAAAATGTTAATACGTATAACATTATTGTGTTTTATTCCCTTTTTTTTTGTTTTAACCACTCCCACTGTTTCCCTTTTGAGTACCTCGCCCGAGGTAGCAATAATCCGCTCACATTCTCTCCATAGAACTGTTACATTCCTCGATCCTCGCATTCACACTAGAAATTTTGCCTTAAAAAACACGATGATACAATTTGTTTGTAAATAGAATGTAGATATGCGGTAATAATATTTAATTAATCTTCCAGTTAGTGCACTGCGACATAGATTAATGATCCAAGATGTAATTATATTGAATACGTGGTTACGTAGTGCGGTTTCGTCCAAACCGACCCGAAACCTCACTACTTATCTACTAATTTAAATATTTCTAAGCACTTTGTTCCTAACTTATTATAGTTATGTGTAATTACGTTCTGCATTACTTTAGTGAAGTCAAGTCTGTGTGTGCCAACTACCAAAAGCGCAAATATCGTCCGTCTGACGTCCTCTTTTTAACAAAATGTATTTTAATCATTTTTCAAAAAAAAAAAAAGGTTTTTAGAAAAATATTTGTGTTTTTGGTGAAGGTACTGTTACCTATGTAGCCAGTTGCGACTTGTTCGCCTTCCCCACTTCTCCCCCACCCAGCAAACCAAAGTCATGAGAGAGAGAGATAGAGAGAATGAGAGAACGTATTTGTACCGCTTGTATGTGGCATGGAAGTAAAAATCGTTAAGCCAAGTCGTACAGTACCAAAAAAAAGAAACGCTTCTTTTTGAGTATTAATTAGCAACTTTCGGTATAATTTTTACAAATTTGGCCTTAAAACAATTTTTAATTATGTTGTCGTAATTTCAATGTACATAGTATCGAATTCACAAGTGTTAGAATATTTGTTTCTCTATTGAATTCCACTTAAGATTTAATATAGAAAACGATATTAAAAAATAAAATTTGTCGTATTGTTTAATTTATTTTTTACATCTTTTTTAGTTTCATATTTTTTTCAAATGAAAAATGTGTATTAGGAGATCAGATGTGCCTTTCCTTCCTCTTTGCGTTATTGAAATGACACAACTCAGTCTCGATGGCATGCCACTACAATTTTCTAATGGAATAGGTGGATACTGTGCCAAGATGGTTGCTTTCAAAGTTTGGTAACAGTGCATGGTGCAGATGTTCCGATTATGTGGTTTTTTCGTACAACCCCCCCAAAATACTATACCCAAACTAGTTATGAATTATGGCTGTGATTGATTTGGAATTTCAACTGTAGGCTTGGATATCCGGCACGAGGGACAGGTTACGAGTCGCAGGGGACTGGCAACAAAACTTTTCGGTTTTGAATCTATGTGCGATGTAAGTTGCAATCCATTAGTCTTCACATATTAATGAATTTCGCCTTTCAAAGCCATGTAATTTTCCATATTGCGTTTAATGGAGGTTTGCAATGACAAATTGAAGCATAGCTTAAAATCCATGGTAACGATTATTGAGACAAAGGTTGCCATGGATTTTAAGGACTGAACATTTTGGTGAAAAATGTAGAACCGGGGGGTATGGACTACCTCCCTGTATACAAAGTTCTTAAGTCGATTGTAGGGAAATTGAACTTTGAATTTTTCACGTTCCTGGGGAGTATTCCAGACTCCCTTACGTTAATTGCCCTACTAACATAAGACCTTTGCATACCCCCCAGATCCGCCGGTTCTACATTCTTCCCCAAAATGTTCAGTAGCTTTAGCACTTTCACAATAATTCTTGGATAGAGCGTAAGAGGTGAAGATTTTGGGGGTGAGCGTAGCACCGGGGGGATATAGAATACCCCCCAGTATACGAAGGTTTTATGTCAATTGTAAGGAAAACAACTTTGAATCTTTTTGTTTCCTGAGGAGTATTCCAGACCCCGTTATGCTCATTTCCCTCCACCTAACATAAGACCTATGTATACAGGGAGGCATTCCAGACTCCCCGAGTCTATACATTCTTCCATAAATGTTCAGCTCTTACACAATAATTTTTGTAAAGAGCTGAAGGTTTTGGTGGTGATCGTAGCTCAGGTGGGTATAGAATACCCCCAGCATACAAAGGTGTTATAGGTATGTTAATTGTAGGAAAATGAACGTAGGGGTGTCTGGCGCGGATATTCCTTACCCCCAGGTGAAATTCTCACCCCCAAAACCTTCACCTCTAAAGCTCTCTTTCCAACAATATATTGTGTATGTGGTAAAGGTAACATTTTGGTGAAGAATGGATAACCGGGGGTCTTATGGAGGTATTCCAGATCCCCGGTTCTACATTCTTCCCCAAAATGGTCAGTACTTACCCTTAGCACTTGCATACTAATTATTGGAAAGTACTGAAGGTTTTGGTTGTGAACGTAGCACGGGGGGTGTGGATACCCTGCAGTATGTGAAGGTTTTATGTCAATTGTAGGGAAATAAATTTCTGGGGAGCATTCTGTAGTCCTCAGGTCCCTTTACGTTCATTTCTCTACACCTAAGATGAGACCTTTGTGTACTGGGGGGTATTTCATACCCCTCCAACCCACCGGGTTCTACATTCTTATACACGATAACTTTTGGAAATGGTCCGCTGAAGGTTTGGGTGTGATAGTATCACTGGGGGTTACCCATTATACATTAACAACTTCTATTGACCAATTACTAAAAAAATGTTCCGGTAGTTATTTGTAACAGGTTGTCTATGTCGCGATCTTTTACTAACAAGGTGGAGTTTATTCTTTGGACGATTGGACAATTAAAGAAATCATTGTAATTGATTTTTATTTCGTAATAACGCCGGCAGTACTTAACAACGGAAGTCGAGTAACGATTGCAATCTTGACTCACCTCATACTCACGATCAGAGCTACAGTTAGTTTCATGTAAAAGTGGACCACCATTATTCTTTTCTCGTTCAAAATAACGAATAAAATTCAAAATAAGCCGCTTACATTTTCTTGGTAAACTCGATGGCATTTTCGAGTTATACAGCTTTTGGCGGAGAATATCGTAGTGGACTAAAAACAAAAAAAAAGCTTTTTACTAAAGGTTTTTTTGCTGTATTTTTTAAATAACGCCCAATTCTGCCTCAAGAACCTATATTTTGTTAAATACATTTATCAATCTAACGTACACACGTAATTCCGATGTAAATTGTAGTTGAAAACGATTTTTTTGAATTTTGTTAATGGCATTTCCCAAAAACAGAATTTTTCTCAAACTAAGGAAAATCCTACTGTAATAATTTTACTTACTTATGCGGTAACCCTTAAAAACCAAAAAAATAGGAATCGCAACCAAGAATGCCTAAAGCCACGGAATCGGAACCATTAAAAAAAATCATTCTCCCTAATTTCATATGTGTTTCAATCTCTGCTGGAAAGTGAAACAATAATATTGAATTGACATGTATGTGTTGTTGAACTTGTAGGCACGTTAGACACAGTGACAAGTGGGTTACCGTCTCCGGTTCAGTAGACACATGCATATTTACATTTAAAACATGAATTTGGAATTACTGGGTAAGTTTCTGTTTATTTAATTAAATTCCTTAATTACGTCTTCATACTTCAGAGTCGTTCGGTCAAAATTATCCAGAGGTAAAGGGCGCATAACGAAAACGGGGGTATAAAACGCTCTCATTGCAGGAATTCGATGGCGCTCTGGACTGTTTATCCATAGCAGTCACTTGCTCCTTCAATAAAAGGGGCACCTTACTGGCGGTCGGCTGTAACGACGGCCGTATCGTCATATGGGACTTCCTCACTCGCGGAATCGCGAAGATAATATCCGCACACGTGCATCCGGTGTGCAGCGTGAGCTGGAACCGAAACGGGCACAAGATAGCGACCGCCTCGACCGACAACACGGTGTGTGTGTGGGACGTGCTGTCCGGCGAGTGCGATCAGAAGTTTCGATTTCCCTGTCCCGTGCTGAGGGTGCAGTTTCAGCCGCGTAACCTGGAGAGGCTGCTGGTGTGTCCGATGCGACATGCGGCCGTGCTGGTCGAGATTAACGGGCAGCATCAAGTTCTGCCCATCGACGAAGATGTAAGTAAAATGATTTAGATACAATAACAAAATACATAACCTCGAAACAAAAAAATTGCAATGTTGTCACATTTACTATAATTTTGAAAATACAACCATGTAATGGAGCAAGTCGATACCATTGATTATACACAGTGTACAATCACGTTCCGAAGTTTTTTATCAGCCTATACCCCCGCACGAGCCTTGGTCATGTGGTTGTTGGCAATTTTCGTTGTGTTCTATATCCATGTATTATGCTAAATAAATACAATATAATACAATATCTTCTAAGGTTCACGTTAATGGCCGATAGGGGCCGCATTAATAAAGTATTATTATTATTATTATGGTCGGTGTTTCTTGCCAGAACTCAGGTCTAGCCTGGTTAACTAATCGCACTGATTAAAATCAAATATTGCTAGTAGTGTTGTTTATTATTATTATTATTATTATTCGCCAAAATCGAGCTATGTCTATAATTCTGTAATGGATTGAGATATCTTACTGTGTTCTATTACAAAAATTTGGTACAAAACTCGGTCTTGATGGCATATCCATATCATTTTCCAATGGAACAAGTTTGGTGGATACTGTGTTGAGTGATTGCAGGCGTGCTTTCGAAGCTTGGTGTCAGCACATACATAACTTCAAGATTCATGGTGCAGTGTGTCAAAGTGAATATTGAAAATAAATACTCCATTCCAAAAAAAAACATAGCTGGCTACGCCGCCTCCCCTCGCGCTGCACAGTGAATCTTGAATCTTCTTCTGCCATGGGAATATTGTAGCACTATTGATATGAGGTTAGATATTGAATTCTCTCTAAGAAAGATAAAAAAAATGACACATGATGCAAACGTTGTAACTTTCATTGTCATTTTATTAGTAGGTATTACAACACTAACTGCATCGTTAGGTAACAAACTCATAATATTGTGTGGGTAAACATGTAATGTGTTTTCTGTATACACTGACAGCACTTTGCGGCATAATCACTACCTTTTATTTATATTCTGCTTGCTCAGTAAAGTGCTTTTTTCATGAACTTAATGGACATTGCATTAGTAATGCGATCGATAATAAAATAGAAGGTCGTCATCGCTTTTATTTATTTATAGTTGTTTTATTATTAAAATAATTAATAACAATTAAAGTAAATAAATGATAATAAAATTTTTAGGGCGACCTAAACATTGTGGCATCCTACGATCGGCGAGGCGAGCACGTCTTCACCGGAAATTCTAAGGGAAAGATCTTGGTGCTAAAGGCGGACACGCTGGAGGTCCGCGCGAGTTTTCGCATAACTCTCGGTAGCTCCAGCGCGACCGCTATCAAAAGCATCGAGTTCGCGCGTCGCGGCGAGTAAGTCGCCACTTTTTGTGCGTCGCATTTAATCGCCCCCTCTGTAGCTGTTTTTTAGTGAACACCGCCGATCGTGTCATACGAGTTTACGATAGTAAGGAGGTGCTCGCGTGTGGAAAGGACGGGGAGCCGGAACCCATACAGAAGCTTCAGGATTTGGTTAACAAGTAGGGGCGGAGAGTGTTGCGCGTTAAGTGAGGGGTGTGCTTTCAGGACGATGTGGAAGAAGTGCTGCTTTTCGGGCGACGGCGAATACATTTGCGCCGGATCCGCCCGGCAGCATGCGCTCTACATTTGGGAGAAATCGATCGGGAACTTGGTCAAAATTCTTCACGGCACTAAAGGCGAACTGCTGCTCGATGTCGCTTGGCATCCCGTTCGGCCAATAATCGCTAGCATCTCCTCAGGTGCGCACGGTGGGCGGGAGTCGTCTTCTACTCGCATTCTATTTCAGGGGTTGTCAGCGTGTGGGCTCAGAATCAGGTCGAGAATTGGTCCGCGTTCGCCCCTGACTTTAAGGAGTTGGACGAGAACGTCGAGTACGAAGAGAGGGAGAGCGAATTCGACTTGACTGACGAAGATAAGTCGGTCGCGAGCGGAGATGACGCAAAGGAAGACGTCGACTTGGAGGTAGATGTCAGCACGGTCGAACCGGTTGCCGCATTTTGCAGTTCGGACGAGGAACAGGAAAACGCAGATGTTCTCCAATTTCTACCAATCGCGCCCGAGGTAAGCAGAAGATGCTGACGTTGTTATTAAATAGATTCGGTGTAGATCGAAGATCCCGAAGAAAATTGGTGCGCCGACGTAATCTCGCAGCCTCCCACCAGCGGCACAAACTCACCGCCCATAAAAAAGAGTAAATATAGAGCCTATGACATTCCTATAGAAAGTACTAGTGACGGTGGTAGGATTTTAATACCGATTTTTGAACTAATCCACTAACTGACTGTTTCTAGAAATACACCCTCTTCTTACTAACAAAATCAAAGAAAAACAAGGGATAGGCGGCGGAAAGAAGGGGACAGGACGATCAAGGAAGTGAGCTTTTTAGTATTTGTAGCTATAGGATTTTTACTGTACGAATAGGTAATTAATAAACCAAACGCATTCTGTTCTGCATCAAACCCTAGCAAGAAGCTTGTGTGCGCTTTAATGTCCAATCAGAGACAGAGATTGGTTCATTCTATGGACATTCAACATTTATACTAAAAAAATCTAACCCAAGAATAGGTGGCTCGTCCCTCGTTGGGGATATTAGAATTACTGACGATTTTTCGAGCAGTAATTAATTGCTGTTACAATTTTTGGTATCTCTACGCTTACGTTGCTGTAAATTAATTGCTCGCGTATCGGATTTGCTCCTTAAAATTTTGTGTTCACCTATATTTATTTTTCCGTAGGAGTGGAATCTGATTGTGTAATTTTCAGGACGCTTTTTAATTAGCGGTAATAATTTGGCTTAATTTTCTAATTATCCAGCGTCATAATTAAATGAATCTACGTCGCGATAATTTAATTGCTCCAGTATCGCATTTGAACCTTAAATTTTTGTGTTCGCCTCGTATATTTATTTCTTCGTAGGAGTGGAATCTGATTCTGTAATTTTCAGTACGCTTTTTAATTAGCGGTGATAATTTGGCTTAATTTTCTAATTATCCAGCGTCGTAATTAATTGAATCTACGTCGCGGTAATTTAATTACTCGAGTATCACATTTGCTCCTTAAAATTTTGTGTTCACCTCGTATATTTATTTCTTCGTAGGAGTGGAATCTGATTCTGTAATTTTCAGGGTGCTGTTTAATTAGCGCTGCTAATTTGGCTTAATTTTCTAATTATCCAGCGTCATAATTAAATGAATCTACGTCGCGGAGATTTAATTGCTCGAGTATCGCATATGAACCTTAAATTTTTGTGTTCGCTTCGTACATTATTTATTTCCCCGTAGCATTTGAATCTGGGTATGTAATTTTGATGACGCTTTTTAATTAGCGATGATAATTTTGTTTAATTTTGTAATTATCCAGTGTCATAATTAAATGAATGTACGCCGCTGTAATTTAATTACTCTAGTATCGTATTTGCTCCTTAAAATTTGATGTTCACCTCGTATATTTATTTTTTCGTAGGAGTGGAATCTGATTCTGTAATTTTCAGGACGCTTTTTAATTAGCGCTGATAATTTGGCTTACTTTTCTAATTATCCAGGGTCATAATTAAATGAATCTACGTCGCGGTAATTTAATTGCTCGAGTATCGCATTTGAACCTTAAATTTTTGTGTTCGCCTCGTATATTATTTATTTCCCCGTAGGATTTGAATCTGATTATGTAATTTTGAGGACGCTTTTTAATTAGCGCTGATAATTTGGTTAAATTGTCCAGCATCTGAAAATTACAGAATCGGATTCAATTCCTAGGGGGAAAATAAATAATATACGAGGCGGACACAACATTTTTAGGTTCAAGTGCGATACTGGACCGGTATCCACTTTTTAGACTTAAATGAATTAATATGATTTTCGTTTTGGACGAGGCAGATAAAAATTGACAGGAGCTAAAAGGTGACAAAAAATATACATGGGGTTCCATTAAAAAAAATGAGATTTTTAAAATGAACTTTTGTAACTTTGGACCTACAAAAAACACCCTGTAAGCTATTTTTTTAATGTTTCATAGTATATTTTACTTTAACCAGGGTAAAATCAAAATTTTAGTAATAATTGTGGCAATATACTGACACTTGCAAATGCCAGAGTTTTCTTTTTTACTTTAAAACTACGAGTTTTTCGGATATTAAAAAATTGTAGAATTAAAAAATGCATTCAAATACAGAGGGGGTTTCATTTAAAAAAATGTACAATTTTAGCTCGCCCTGTATAATTCTAAATATTTTTAAAATGTGGAGAATATTCAACCATATCCATAATATAAAAGCACTCTATCGAAAAATCTTATCTTCAAGGCATTAAGTTACTCCGCGCAATCGTTGACTCACCCTGTACAGTTGATTGTTGCCTTTCAATCCGGTATCAGCGCTGTTGTCTCATGTAGAAATTCTTGAGTATTTCGTTCCCTTCTCTAATGGGCTGTCGTCAATATCTGGCTCTCGCCGTAATTTCGTCCTTGTAAGTTTTGCCACACGGTTTGACTACGCAAGGCAACCAGCAACCAGCGTAGATTCTGCGTCTGACGTTGCCAGAATTCGCAAATATTTATACCCCTTCTCTCAGTATCTACTGTCATTAAGTTTCGGCTATCTCACTACGACGAGGCGTCGAGTAATCGGAGCTCTGCTTTCGAAGTTTGGTAACAGCACATATCTTCAAGGTTCATGGTTTTTGGTAGGTCCGAAGAGAAATACTCTTACAAAAGTGTAAAGCTACGCCGCCTCCCTTCGCACTGCACGGACAACCTTGAAGAAATGGGTTGTCACCAAGTCAACTACTCAATACAGTATATTTTTGTACGTCAAATCCTGTCTTCCAAAACTTAACACCAGGTCAGGTCTTTATGGCTTATGTAGACATAAAAGTAAATCATAGTAGGTACTTTTATTAAAGATTTCAGAACCTCCCTTTGACTAACATTTTAATACATTTTCAGTGTTTGCTAAGTAAACGATGTGCAATTAGTTCTCCAATAAACGCCATTACAGATAATACTAAACCAAAACAGAATACAATAAAAATTCCATTCAAATGCTCTAAAGATAGCGCCACCACTTTTTCTTCTTGCTGTAGTTCTCTTCTTTTGGAGTCTTCGTAAAATTCTCGATCTCTGTCTAGTTTATGGTACAACCCGCTATCGGTCAGTCTGTCGATGATTATATTTAAACTGTCGATAATGGGACTATGTCTCCCAGTTGCAAAAGTCTGCATCAAGGGAGGTAAAATGTTACTATCAATGAAGTAATTTGGAGCGCGCAATCGTAAACTCACTGCCACTGCGTGTAGTGTTTTTAATGGGATAACGATAGAAAAATTTTGACTTGCAGACCAATTTTCCAGTAAGACACGAGAATGGTAGGATTTTATGGGACAGGACCTTAACTTTATCTTGTCGTATATTTCCCTAAATTCTTGCAATCTGTGCCAAGTCATCACGTAGGAGGCAGCAGAATCGAAACAAATTGGAATGTCAGCATCTAGCAGCTCATTCAGGTTGCGAATAGGTTGACTCCTTGGAGGTGAAGTCATCAGGCGCATTAAGTTTGAGACGTACGCTGTTTGTATGTGCACACTGTATATAATGTAGCACAGAATTACGAATCGAAGTCTTGATGATTGGGTAATGCGACTGGTGCTTCCAAATAGCGTGATCCCAAAAGTCTTCAGAACAACTTCACCCAAGCTGGTTTTGAATTTTTCCAAAACGTACCAAGCTATGGTAAAAATGGCAAAAATCACCGAAACTAATATCCAAATCCCCAGATCAAAATTAACTGCCAAAATTTCTAACGCCGAAATAGCATTTGTTGGTGGAACTACCCACACCATGGCGTCCCGTAGATACACGTGACTTCTAAGATCACCTTTTACGACAAGGGAAACTAGCAGTCCATCTCGTACTGTAATCGGGAATTGATTCTTTTGAGATGTGTTTAAAGAGACATTCAATATCTCAACCGCAATGGTAATAGTAAAATCCTTGCGATTAAATTTATACAAATTAGGCGCAAGGGCAGCAGTTAAGAAAACTATGGGACATCCGTGGTAATCTCTTATAGGACGTGGAATTGTGTCAGCGATCGCTTGGTCACAGCTTTGCACATGCATTATGTTCGGAACTCTGCCGCAGTAGTTTCGAGTATCATGCGGATTTGCCGTAAATAACAACGATTTTGCATCTTCACTCCGGTTAATCACCAGAACCGCCAGATATATAAAACCATAACGCCATAATGTACCGAAGATCTTTTCAACTCGCCATACGTAATCGGTTATAACGAGTAATCTTGCGGCGAAGGGATCATATTCACCACCCCATACGCCTATGTATTTCAAAGAATTATAAAGTTTTTTTAAAAAACCTAAATTTCTGATTTCGAGTACGAAATTGTTGGAAATCCCTCTCTTTATGCGTGAACAAGGTATGGAATGACTGGTGTTAATAACAACCCTTGGATTTCTTATATTGAATGGTAACAGGTCACTACTTTCGTTGAAAACAAAATAAAGAGGTTCATCTCTAAAAATCGTTTGGATCACTTTTTCTGTACATACCTTCATGGATGTCTGACTATTTTTCAGTGAAATACTTCTTGTGGTACTTAAAAAAGATACAAAAAAGGCACATGCTGCAAACCGTGTAACTTTCATTGTCGTGTTACTTCTATTTCAATACTCAAACTGAATCGTTAGGTGCTGCATGACAAACTGAACAAACTCATTTGCTGTGCGGGTAAACATAGACTAATGTGTTTTATGTATACACTACCAACACTTTGGGACATAATCACTACCTTTTATTCTATTCCACTTGCTCAGTAAAGTGATTTTTGTTGATGAACCTAATGGACCTGACATTAGTACTGCGATCGATGACTGTTGGAGTGATCTAAAAATAGAAGGGCGCGCTATATCAACAATCCTTCTTTTATTCAATAAAATTTGGAGATTTATAGTTCTTTTAATATTAAAATAATTAATTGCACTATTTTGTCACCAATTTCGTGAGATCGTGCGATGTATAAAATGCAATGGAGTTTCCCAGGTGGTTGCATTTTAAGTTTATGCCAATTTATGCTATAGTAACGTAAATTTAATTACGTGATTGCTTTATGTACAATTAATTACTAATTCACATGAACTAACACTATTAACGAGAAACTAAATTAAAACGGACTTTAAATTCATAAATAACTTTTATTTTATATGCGAATTTGATATCGATGGTGATGAGGAAACGCGCGTCTAGTAGTTGTTCTAGAATCGTAGAAACGTAAGGGATGGGAATGCGACTGAGTTCAACTTACGATGTCCCGTCCTTCTTTGGAATCAAACATATTGGAGATGCCCACCTGTTTTTGGAAGGTTCCCTGAGCTCACATTTTATCAATCTTTTCATGGATGATTTTCTGCTTAACAGGACTAACAGGATAATATCGCTGTTT